CACGCCCATTAAGCTACCCATTTCTATGACAAGCAAAAGAAACCTGATTCGGTCAACTTCTTTTTAAAAAGATTTCAAATGCTGTTATATTATAATTATGAGTATGACCAAAACTGAAATGAATGTTTCAGAAATGGCTGTCTTCATTGATATTGTGAACTTGCCACCATATTACAATGAGAATGATTTAAAAACATATTTTGTTGTCGTAAAACAAATAAAATGACTTGAACCAAGATCAAACTTACGAAACACCTTCTGTGCCATTAAAAAAACACTATTAACCATTTAAATGATAATTGGCAATCAAGCGATATAGAATTACACAACTAACACAGTCACCTTCTAATGAAGATGACAAGTAGGTTGACTACATGAAAAGTAACACTACTCCTTGGTAAAATATTACTGAGTATGTCGCTGGATTGTGATAAGGTATTCTTTGATGAAGCCATGATTTCCAGTTTAACGGAAGTATTGTATCAACATGCAAATGTTGTATAGGTCTCTGAACACAAATTTTACAGTTGATTTGATGAATCATACAAACATGGCACACAAACAAAATTATAAACTCAGGGACAGACTAGGAGTGGTCAGAAAAAATAGACATGATGTTGATGCTACTATAACCTTTATTGTTGTTTTAGATATTCTTGAGCAATAATGTCGATTTCACAAAGTCTCAAAGACTTCTACTGTGTTACTAAAACTATATTAATATGAAAAGTTAAGTTTTATTTTGTACATTATAGTGTTATTCTAGAGTACTCTGATTTTGACCTCTAGGTAAACATTTAAGATTAATTTCATGTAAAAGAGACATTTTTCTCCATACATTTTGTTAATAGAAACATTTAAGTAAAGATTTGTCAGCATTGTAGAGAACTGTGTATAGAACTAGATCCAAACTGATATTGTTTCAGAAAGATAGCTGTACATTCCAAAAATAATATTTTTACTAGACAGTGTTTAAACAATATAATGTTGTTTGAATATTTTTGATTAGCATTATTCTTGCCAGGCTTCCAGTGTTATGTCAAGACTTTGTTTCCCAATTAGGATAAGTTAATAATTAAGTATAGATATTATATAGATATCTAGGTTTGTTACAAGAATAATTTTATCATGATGGAACGCAGTACTTCAGATACAAGTCCTAAACAATAAATGAATAGACGTTTGTAAAATACAAGTATTCATATATGTTTGAATCTCTTAGCAGTATATATATGTGTGTTACTGTACTTGTTCGTTCTATGCTAGATTTGGATAGTCAATTGTTTGTTAAAGTCAGAAGGGTCTTAATGATGATAGCAATAAAGGTACAAGATCAGTAGCAATTTGGTTAAATAAGTAAAATCAAATTCAAGGTGTAAAGATTATTGTTTAAATCAAAATTTGTGTAGGAGAAAATTATTTTCGTTGCTGATGTCGATATTATTTAAATTGGATTAATAAAATTGATCAAAAAGTATTTCTTTTAAATTTCAAAACAAACGTCCACTTTATTTAATTGACTTGAATTGAGAAGCTTCTGTAGTTTTTGTAACTTGCCTGCACTATAAGACCTGGGTGTTTAGTGCTAGTGAGTTTTTCAAAATTATTACAGGGACATAGCTGCTAGTTATGCTATCAACCTACTGTTGATTACTGAAATGTGAAGTTCATGTTCTTAAAACACATGCTATTTATTCATCTTTTATCCATACATTTTGCTTAAAGATGCATCATAAGCAGTAAACATACTAACCTGGTTGTCGTCGTTTCGATGCAAGGCATGTATTAACAAAATTTCAAATTGTAACTTTGTCGCAGTAACTACATAGCAGCAACATATCCGAATCCTTCTGGTTTCATTACTGTTGGTGTTCCTATTACGTGATGTTACACCTGCTGTACTGCGTACGGCTGGTTATGTACTTAAAGTTAAATTTTGTCTTATATTTGTGTTTTGAAAAAACAAAACGTTGACATTAGGAGTTGTTGATATTATCCGATGTGTCTTAAAAATCCTCAAAATAAAAGATATGTATCTCAATTTACATAGTATCGAGTTGTGCTTAATTTGATACAATGCAATCAGTATGGCTTTCTGAATAACCCTGACCATCGGTATGATATTCTGTGTCAGTGACAGTCTGTGTGGGTTTGTCATTCTGAATAACCCTGACCATCGGTATGATATTCTGTGTCAGTGACAGTCTGTGTGGGTTTGTCATTCTGAATAACCCTGACCATCGGTATGATATTCTGTGTCAGTGACAGTCTGTGTGGGTTTGTCATTCTGAATAACCCTGACCATCGGTATGATATTCTGTGTCAGTGACTGTCTGTGTGGGTTTGTCATTCTGAATAACCCTGACCATCGGTATGATATTCTGTGTCAGTGACAGTCTGTATGGGTTTGTCATTCTGAATAACCCTGACCATCGGTATGATATTCTGTGTGCAGTGACAAGCTTTGTGGGTTTGTCATTCTGAATAACCCTGACCATCAGTATGATATTCTGTGTGTCGGTGACAGTCTGTGTGGGTTTGTCATTCTGAATAACCCTGACCCTCGGTATAATATTCTGTGTGTCGGTGACAGTCTGTGTGGGTTTGTCATTCTGAATAACCCTGACCATCGGTATGATATTCTGTATGCCAGTGACACTCTGTGTGGGTGTGTCATTCACGAATAACCCTGACCATCGGTTTGGTATTCTGTATGCCAGTGACACTCTGTGTGGGTGTGTCATTCATGAATAACCCTGACCATCGGTATGATATTCAATGTGCAGTGACACTCTGTGTGGGTTTGTCATTCATGAATAACCCTGACCATCGGTATGATATTCTGTGTGCAGTGACAGGCTTTGTGGGTTTGTCATTCTGAATAACCCTGACCATCGGTTTGGTATTCTGTATGCCAGTGACACTCTGTGTGGGTGTGTCATTCATGAATAACCCTGACCATCGGTATGATATTCAATGTGCAGTGACACTCTGTGTGGGTTTGTCATTCATGAATAACCCTGACCATCGGTATGATATTCTGTGTGCAGTGACAGGCTTTGTGGGTTTGTCATTCTGAATAACCCTGACCATCGGTATGATATTCTGTATGCCAGTGACACTCTGTGTGGGTGTGTCATTCATGAATAACCCTGACCATCGGTTTGGTATTCTGTATGATTTTGACAGTTGATATAGTATCCAGAAGAACTCTGACCTATAAAGTATTACGAATGACAGTGAGAGTCTATGTCGTATTCTGAAGGACCCTGGCCTCAGATACAGTATTCTGAATGATGATGACAGTCTTAGAAGATTCAACCCTGCTAATTAGCCATCCAGCACCAAGCCAACTTTTTCAGATTCATACAGTTTCACAGCTGAGTTGGTATAGTCACACCTGAATGACTTTGTCATAGGTATGACCAATATCCTGTGTTCAAACTGAAGAGTGTTCACATAACTCCACATAGTTTTTCAATTTAGTCTGAAAGCTAACATGGCTAACACACAGTTAGATGTTAATTTTATGGCAAATGGATGAGGAGGGTTTAATTTACTCCAATATGGATTCAAATGTTCGACAAGCAAAAGAAAATAAAAAATGTATATATGAGATGTGTGAAAATTGACTGACAAGTTACAATTACAAGACATGATAATCACATAAAAGTTTATGGTGGAAATCATAACCGCCTTCCGGATTCCCTTGGTCTATCGGAAGAGGTAGTGATGGTTAGCGTTAAAACGAGAGAAATCAGAGAAGAAATTACGCCAGTTTCAGCCATATATGACGAATTAAGCTCCTTGTATGTCAATGAATTTGATGAGACTGTTAAAGACATGACAAAACAAAGTCCAACATTTCGGAATGCTAAATCTAGTTTGTACAGGAATAGGGAATGTCATGAATGAAAGGGGAATTAGAAATAGAAAAAATGTGTTGTATTTTTGTGGAATATAATAATAAAATATATATGGCTGTATAATTGACCTGAGATTTACCTGAAGTCACCTGTTCTCAACTAGATAATGTTTATATAACTTGTTATAGTGTATACACTAGTCTCACTAAACAAAAATCTGGACATTTCTGTATTGTAATTTTAAAAGGTTGGCTAAGTGGGGTGATGCCGAATTCTGAATCACAAGTTTTTGTGACGGATCCAGACAATTAATGTGGTTTTCTTAAGAACATTAACAACAAATGTGGTATTCCGAAGGACCTGGACAACAAATGTGGTATTCCGAAGGACCTTGACAACACATGTGGTATTCCGATAGACCTGGACAACAAATGTGGTATTCCGAAGGACCTGGACAACACATGTGGTATTCCGAAGGACCTGGACAACACATGTGGTATTCCAGAGGACCCTGACAACGCTTGTGGTATTTCGGAGGACCTTGACAACGCTTGTGGTATTCCGAAGGACCTTGACAACAAATGTGGTATTCCGAAGGACCTTGACAACGCTTGTGGTATTCCGAAGGACCTTGACAACAAATGTGGTATTCCGAAGGACATTGACAACGCATGTGGTATACTGATAGACATTGAAAACAAATGTGGTATTCCGAAGGACCTTGACAACGCTTGTGGTATTCCGGAGGACCTTGACAACGCTTGTGGTATTCCGAAGGACCGTGACAGCAAATGTGGTATTCCGGAGGACCTTGACAAAGCTTTTGGTATTCCGGAGGACCTTGATAACGCTTGTGGTATTCCGAAGGACCTTGTCAATAAATGCGGTATTCCGGAGGACCTTGACAACAAATGTGGTATTCTGAAGGACCTTGTCAACGCTTGTGGTATTCTAAAGGACCTTTACAACGCTTGTGGTATTCTAAAGGACCTTGGCAACGCTTGTGGTATTCTAAAGGACCTTGACAACGCTTGTGGTATTCTAAAGGACCTTTGACAACGCATGTGGTATTGAAGGACCTTGTCAATAAATGTGGTATTCTGAAGGACCTTGTCAATAAATGTGGTATTCTAAATGACCTTGACAACAAATGTGGTATTCCGAAGAACCTTGACGACACATGTGGTATTCCGAAGGACCTTGACAACGCTTGTGGTATTCCGGAGGACCTGTGGTACGGAGGACCTTGACAAAGCTTTTGGTATTCCGGAGGACCTTGTCAATAAATGTGGTATTCCGGAGGACCTTGACAACAAATGTGGTATTCTGAAGGACCTTGACAACGCATGTGGTATTCTAAAGGACCTTGACAACAAATGTGGTATTCTAAAGGACCTTCACAACAAATGTGGTATTCTAAAGGACCTTGACAACAAATGTGGTATTCCGGACGACCTTGTCAACGCTTGTGGTATTCTAAAGGACCTTGACAACGCTTGTGGTATTCTAAAGGACCTTGACAACGCTTGTGGTATTCTAAAGGACCTTGACAACGCTTGTGGTATTCTAAAGGACCTTGACAACAAATGTGGTATTCCGGAGGACCTTGACAAAGCTTTTGGTATTCCGGAGGACCTTGTCAATAAATGTGGTATTCCGGAGGACCTTGACAACAAATGTGGTATTCTGAAGGACCTTGACAACGCATGTGGTATTCTAAAGGACCTTGACAACCATTGTGGTATTCTACAGGACCTTGACAACAAATGTGGTATTCCGGACGACCTTGTCAACTCTTGTTGTTTTGCTAAGTACATTGCAATTAACTTTGGTATTCCGGAGGACCTTGACAACGCTTGTGGTATTCTGAAGGACCTTGTCAACGCTTGTGGTATTCTAAAGGACCTTTACAACGCTTGTGGTATTCTAAAGGACCTTGACAACGCTTGTGGTATTCCGAAGGACCTTGTCAATAAATGTGATATTCCGGAGGACCTTGACAACGCATGTGGTATTCTGAAGGACCTTGTCAATAAATGTGGTATTCTGAAGGACCTTGTCAATAAATGTGGTATTCTAAATGACTTTGACAACAAATGTGGTATTCCGAAGGACCTTGACGACGCATGTGGTATTCTGGAGGACCTAGACAACGCATGTGGTATTCTAAAGGACCTTGACAACAAATGTGGTATTCTAAAAGACCTTGACAACAAATGTAGTATTCCGAAGGACCTTGACAACGCATGTGGTATATTGATGAACCTTGTCAATACATATGGTGTTCTTAAGGACCTTGTCGATAAATGTGGTATTCCGAAGGACATTGACAACGCATGTGGTATACTGATAGACATTGACAATGCATGTGGTATTCCGAAGGACCTTGACAACGCTTGTGGTATTCCGGAGGACCTTGACAACGCTTTGGTACACCGTGACAGCAAATGTGGTATTCCGGAGGACCTTGACAAAGCTTGTGGTATTTCGGAGGACCTTGATAACGCTTGTGGTATTCTGAAGGACCTTGTCAATAAATGCGGTATTCCGGAGGACCTTGAGAACGCATGTGGTATTCTGAAGGACCTTGACAACGCATGTGGTATTCTGAAGGACCTTGACAACAAATGTGGTATTCTAAAGGACCTTGACAACGCTTGTGGTATTCTAAAGGACCTTGACAACAAATGTGGTATTCCGGAGGACCTTGTCAACGCTTGTGGTATTCTAAAGGACCTTGACAACGCTTGTGGTATTCTAAAGAACCTTGAAAACAAATGTGGTATTCCGGAGGACCTTGACAACGCTTGTGGTATTCCGAAGGACCTTGTCAATAAATGTGGTATTCCGGAGGACCTTGACAACGCATGTGGTATTCTGAAGGACCTTGTCAATAAATGTGGTATTCTGAAGGACCTTGTCAATAAATGTGGTATTCTAAATGACCTTGACAACAAATGTGGTATTCCGAAGAACCTTGACGACGCATGTGGTATTCTGGAGGACCTAGACAACGCATGTGGTATTCTAAAGGACCTTGACAACAAATGTGGAAAAGGAAAATATCAACAAAAGAAAGATGTATATTGAGATTACTGAAAAGTACTAGGGGAATAAGTCTAGGTGTTCCGGAAGAGTAAGCATCTTCTGTTTATCGACGACACCTATCATGCTAATCTTGGCCAATCCACGAAGATACAATGTAATGTTCGTGCTCAAATGAGAACGAGGTAAACAACAACATGGTGTATCAAACACGTTCGACCTCGTATTGCACAAGGAAGTTGTCTGTTTCACAATGGTATCACAGTGATACAGCCTCTTGAATATCAAGGCAACTGCGACATGAAAACATAAGTTGGGAATGCTGGGACGGTGATATCCAGAGTTGGAAAACTTATAACGGGGAAAGTTAAACCATCATATTTTACATACAGATTGGTGGAAAGCTGTCTGTGTCGGTTTTGATGTATGAAAATATCCAGATAAGTTGCTGATGTAGAAGAGTCTGTCGTGTCCTTCATTTCTTATTCCGATCAGTTTATACGATGGATGTCATTTAGCACATGCGAGATTTAAATCGTATATCCAGATGATGTGAGATAAATGGTAAATCATGCTCCGTAATTTGGCCATTGTAGACCAAGGTAAGAATTGCTACTATTTCTTTACCAAGAAGAAAAAAAAATGAATTTCTGACGAAGAGCAGCACAAACCTGCATTTAGATATATTTCAGTCATTTTAATGTCTTTTCTCGATGTTTGTAATTTTTGATGTTTTACAGTTTTTACAGCAGTCATGACAAACTAGAGTTTTGATTTTCTCTATCGATTTTATTTTCAAGGTTTCTGTTTTGCTGTTTTTTTTTACCCTACAAAATAAAATCCCTTGAAAATAGCAAATTGTACAGTCTTTTTTTATGTTTCCTTTAACATATGAAATCATAATAAGAACAACAAGCCACAAAGCGTGGTATTACCCTCCGCATTCAGCTGTTGGTGTGAGATCCAAATATGTGCATTGGGTAATACAAGAGGCCACAAGAAATCGAAAAATTCGATGGTAACAGAAAAAGGATAAAAAATAAAAAGTCCTTAGTAAGAAAAGGCACAACTAGGAGACTAATATATACAGAAAGGTTTTTGGAGTTGAGTGGAATGGTTTCGAAGTTGTAGCCCAGAAAGGAAAGTTCACACTGTTTTTCCTACTGTGTTTCCATGGTAACAGAAATATATAAATAATGAAATGTTGTCAATAGCAAAAGGCACAGTCAAGTAGGTCACTAACCTAATATATACAGAACGTTTTATTGTGTTGAGTGGAATGGTTTCGAAGTTTTAACCCAGAAAGTAAAGTAAGCACTAGTTTTGTGTTTTTGGCTTTTTCCATAGTAATACAAAAATATGGTAAATGAGATGTCTTCAATAGCAAAAGGCACAACTAGGGCACTAACTTAATACATATAGCAAGTTTTTTAAAGTTGAGTTGAACGGTTTTGAAGTTATAGCCCAGAAAAATCCGTACGGACGGGCGGACGGAGACCAAATTAATATCCCCCGAAAAACGCGTTTCGTGGGGGTATTAAAAAGAATAGAAAAAAAGATGGCATCCATGTAATAGAATGTAAAAGCGAAAACTATGTGGAGAGGGGATCGATAAGCAGTCTATTCACACGAATAAAGAGATACATGAGAAATCCACTGCTATCAGAACATTATCTTGATACCTATCCTCATGGTATTGAATCACCAAATGTTCACTAGCGGGAACGGGCTATCCAAATTTTGATCTCTCCGATGTCATCATCGATAATTCCTTGACATGGTCAGATTACATTTCGTCAATATTGGGCAAATTAAGGCAAAAGCTGGGCTTGTTGCGTCGTATAAGTCCATATTTACCCATGGAAGGAAAACTGAATTTTTTTTCAGGCAAGTATTTTTCCACATTTTGTGTATTGCAGCACTGTGTGGTCAGGTTGTTCAGGAAATTTAATGGGCAAGCTTTTGAAAAGTCAGAAACAAGCTGCCAGAATGATTCTCGATGTACCATTTCATACCCCTTCCAAAGACATGTTTGAAGTTTTACAGTGGATACCTATTGATAGATACTTGAAGTTTAGAAGATTATATATGATTTTTAAATGTTTACATGAAGATGTCCCAGACTACTTATCTAGCAATGTCTCATTAGTTAGAAATAGTCACAATAGAACTAGAAGATATGCCTGTGATAACAACTTTTTAGTTCCAAAACACAGAACTGTTTTTTACTCAAACCATTTTTTAATATCGAGTATCGAAGATTGGAATATTTTACCTCACGAACTGAAGGGGATCAATTGATTTACTACTTTTAAAAGACTACTAGTCAAACGTTTATTTGATTTGTTGACAATTTTGCAAGATACTGCTGCTTTTTACTTTTTAGAGCAACCAAGTCTATTTGTACACTGTATACTTTTCAATAATGTATGTAATCATGTAATTTTTATCAGGTATCCGACAGATGAAGTTTATTGTTTACTCATACATGTTGTTTTTACTAACCCATTGATATGTACTTTTACTAACAAGAGGACCATGTGTTAGATAAGTCTTTGGCTTAATATGTATTTATCCTCTGAAAATAAATATTATTATCATTATTATTATAATGAACGCAGTTTTGGGTTTCCATATTTATTAAGTTTTTTGTCAATCACATATTCACATTGTTTGGCACATGATAAACAGTGTATGTAATTTCTTTGTAATTTGGAAATGAATGTGGGCACTTAAAAACCACAGTACATCGAATGCAGTGTACCAACACTCGCCCGTTCATGTATCGTAATGGTAACAAAACGCCATACTGAAGATCGGATATATCAACATTATGCTGCATATGATAAAATCTTCGCGGTGATTTTATTCTCCATAACTAAAACAAAGACGCAAAATGAATGCATGTAAAGAATTGACATACAAGGTACAAATCTTATCAGATCAACGGAATACTTACGAGAAACCGCGAAGAAATCGATTTATAATTATTTGGCATTTTACATACAGCATGTGATTAATTTACAATAAAACTTCACACATATTAAGTTTTATTAGGTAATATGAATATTAATTACTGAATGTTCCCGTACCCATTTACTACTTTCAATCACGTCCTACAATTTAATTAATACTAACATTTATTCTCATTTTTCTGTTTACGGTAAACACGTGGTAAATCAATAATAAATAAATAATAGATGAAGAGGACAATTATAACATACGCCGTGTTCGTGGATACTTCACTTCTATTATAAATGAAACTTCATAAAAATATGCGTATCCTACGACTTGTCAGTCAGTGCGAGATGTTTATATTTTTTTTTTATAAAATATAATTGATTACTTCCGTGTATAACATTCAAGCACATCAGATTGACTTTATATGGCATACATTTAATATGGAAATGTTATGCTTGTATCTCAAGTAGATTTCGCGACTCAGCAAGAAATGACTATCTGGTCTATATATTGATACCTAATATATCATTGCATCCTTCCATTGCTAAAAACTCGATTCCTTTCGCTTACAAACGTCCATAAAACATATATGACACACTAGAATATAAGGAAACGAAGCCAGACTCGACAACAATTTGCCACACCTTGCTCTCACCGAGTAGCGACTCGTGGTACCAAATGCTGCTGCTGTTCATTAAACTGGTAGTATTGTTTTAACTACGAACACTAACCAATTTCAAAGAACCTTAGGCAATATTTTCTCCACCTAGGCAAGAATAACCATGAGCATACCAACTCAATTCTGAAGCAATACATTTGTTCATCATTTCAACCATTATCATTCAAACAGTTCAGTCGAACAGAAAACAAAAATAAAAGAAATACATGTCACACAGAAAAGTTAACAAGTTTTTTTTTCGACCGTCTAGTTTGAATATATTGGCACTTGTTTTCTTCCATTTTCTTGTTTACATTGCGCCTGAGCCTGGCTTCTCCTCATGTCATTTGCCGTAGAGCATCTCTTTGGGAAGAGGGCGTGGTTTCATCAGCTTGGTCAACCTTGACCTTTGCTCCTGGGTCAGTGAAGGGAGTCTCGCTGTAGCCGAGGAAACACGGGAGCTCGCCGGCCTTTGCTTCTGCATATAAAAGATATGGAGAATTATAAAATAGGACCAAATATGTCGATTTTTATGAGCTGTTCCAATTAAGAGAAATTCCATACAATATGAAATTATTATTGATTATTATAATATGATGTATACATGAATTTTATATGCTATATCGATTATGCAGAAAACGAGTGATATCATAGTGAGTATTTATCAGTTACAGGTCATGGTCACTATACACATCATTATAAGTTATTTGAGTATCGTTATGATATACAAAGCACAAACATCAATCCAGGATTAAATTGTTGAGTAAGCGAAATAAAGACAAAAGCTTGGCGGTATGAACATGACTCTTGGCTTGGTGATTGTATGATGCATCTATATTATAGCATCATTTTCAAAACGTAATTCAGATACAAAACAATTTTACCACTGCGAATTGTGGGTATTTATGGCAAATGTCCAAGATTTTTTGTAATTGCATTGAAAGTCTAATATAAAAATTGTCATTACACTTGTGTGGTGATAAACCATGTTCTTTATTTGTGGCGGGCTACCGCAATATAATAATCTGTAATAGTATGGTGTTTATTCACTTACCATGTTCGTCCGCTGAAAGACCGAAAGGTCGTAAAAGAGGACGTAAACCCCGTTAAATAAATAAATAAAAATTACCATATGTAAGTCATGTCTCTCAATCTTTGATACGGTTGTATACAAATGCATTTAGAATCATAATTACGTTTTGAAAAATATTTTTTGTAATTTTAGTTTGTATGATATGATGCAAGCAACACACGTTATGGAGTATGACATTTAGCATGCATGGTCAATGAACAATACAGGACAAACCAAAATACACCAAAGCCATTTTGTTATTCGATGTCAAACCACGTCTACTCAGCCTTTTAATCACTTACGTCATCAATTGATTGTACAAATGCATACGAGAATGACTTTTCCCTGACCGGAAGTCCTATCGTCTCGGTGTACGTGGCGGAATTTCCAGACAGGATCTGATTTTGACTAACCCCAATTTTCCCTGCTCTAGGGTCTACAACCATTGGCTGACTATTGCTGAACATCCGATTGAAGTTGCCATCACGGTTTGAAAGTTCCATTCGGTATCTTTGAACTTCCTTTCGGAGTTTCTCTACTTCATCGTTATAATCCTGTAATCAATAAATGTGTTTTCAAGTTGATTATAGAAAATAAATCATAAGACGGACCATTTCATTGTAATACATATAAAATACTGTAAATGTCTCTATTTCACACACTAGTAACATTTTTGTTGGACAAACGTCGTTGTGTTTATGTGGAAATTATGGAACGGGTCACAATGTGCTTTCTTAATATTTAAAAGACAGTTTTCGTAATCTTATTTTGTCATAGAAAATAGAGAGATGTGGAAACACTTGAAAAAGCAACATTTACAGTGATATACTAATGTTTCATTATCAGAAATATACATAAATATACATAACCATACACGTGTACATGCTTAACGATACAAATAAATACAGATATTGTTTCATATGATATGCCTTCGTAATAATCAACCTTTATAATAAATGATTTATGCTCCTTTATAAAGTAGTACATATATGAATAGCAAAAGAGACTGATGATACTTACAACAAATCAATAGGATTATTTATCTTTAGAAGTGATGTTTGTATCATATATTATTATATAGGAAACAGAGGTACCAGTAGCATGAAAAGGGATGAAAGCGATTTAATGAAATCCGGTATAAATTAATTTGTAACATTATCGTTGCAAAATAAGATTTAAGCACAGAGAAAGTGGTCTTTATTCTAATTACATATGTAAAATGAATGGTTAACGCTCACATGTTAATGCTGGCCATAAAATTTCTTTTATTCGTTTAAGAATTTTATTAAATGATAAATATCATATATATAACACAAATAATCTAGCAATACAGCATGCTCTAGCAATGATGGTGATTATAGTGTCATGATATCATTACAAGCAGGTGATTTTGTTTTATGTCGAGGCAAAATAATTTATATTAATCTTGATTCATTTATTGTTTTCACATTATTTAAATAAATCACATTCATAATTTTAAAATGAGTTGTCAGTAGATTTGATGAACTCTTGTGCCAATCCACTTAATTATCACTGTATATCAGGAGGTGAACGTGACTGTTAATTTAGGAACAAGAGGAACAAGAGATGGATATTAAAACATTAACGAATCGACAGATTTGGAAAATCCAATCAGTTATAGTAATCTAACTCTGCCAACGATAACATATATCAGACGTCATCTTTAATTTCTTTATAAGCAGTTGCTATAATCTGAGCGATAAAATCTAAAGAATTCTACGTAAAGCGATATATGTATATATTATCAGAACGAAATAAAGAGGAGTATAATACATAGCAACCAAGTCCATGTGATAGTGATAACAACACACGTGGTCAGCTGTCTCGTAGTGATAGGTCACTACAAAGTTACCTGTTGCTTCATCTTATCTTTGGGTGTTGCGGGCATCTGTATTTTCTGAAATATCCCGCCATGCAGAAATATATTTAGCATTAATACCAACAACAAAGAAGTCTTAACCTGAATAGTTCCGTCTACGGTCAATAGTATATATGATAGGGAAGCTTTGATGAACTATACCCGGCTCAGGAGTACTTCACAAGTCAACATTTTAGGAAAGATGTGCAACAAAAATACCGTAAAATATTTACAAGTTGTAAAATATACATAACACAAGGAAATAGGTATTGATGGATGTTTAATACACTGATGTGATAAGTTAGATCCTGTTACTAATTAAGACACCAAGTGATACTCCTGTACATGTATCTATACCACAGACATCACAAATAGACCAAATAAAGCTAGGCTCTCAGAATTGTATTTGTATTTTGATATGAAAACGTGAAATTGCCATAACTTGAGTGTTTTGTCGTCAATAAATGTCATTTTAGATTTCATGATGATATTACAATTAGTATGAAATCCTACTGTTCCTATGGACTGTGATTTCACTAGGTCTCCTTCCATTTTGTAACATGAACCCACGACTACTAAGGACAGCGTATCACTTATGTGAAGAATATGAATAGCATTAATTTCATCCCGAATTCTACCATTTGTATGAACATATAAAATGTTTTCACCCCGAATTCTATCATTTTGTATGGACATATAACATGAATTCCATCCCGAATTCTACCATTTTGTATGGACATAGGGATTGTTGTCACCCAAAATTCTGCCATTTGTATGGACATATAAAATGGCTTCACCCCGAATTCTACCATTTTGTATGGACATAGGGATTGTTGTCACCCAAAATTCTGCCATTTGTATGGACATATAAAATGGCTTCACCCCGAATTCTACCATTTTGTATGGACATAGGGATTGTTGTCACCCAAAATTCTGCCATTTGTATGGACATATAAAATGGCTTCACCCCGAATTCTACCATTTTGTTTGGAAATATAGCATGTATTCACCCAAAATTCTACCAATTTGTATGGAAATTTAACATAAATTTTAGCATTTGTGTGAACGATACAACTATTATCCAGTACATGTGATGACAGTCTGGGTTACCCATGTAATTAATGAGCTCCAAAGTACAGTTTGAGGTTATTAATGAGTTATCGGTTGGGTCATACGGATTTTAATTGTTATGGATTCACATTTACCTAGGATGTAGGTGGCAGGATAGATAAAGCTTAAAAGGCAGGTATGCATGCTCATGTGTAGATAGGCGCATTTTATAAATTTTATGGTGGTATTGTATTGAATTAAAACCAGGCCTTCATTATTAGCCTTCACCATGATTTGTGTGCATAAACATGCTCTCATTCCATTAGAATATACAAGTAATAAGAAAATAAAATAAAAAAAAAAACATGCAAATAAATGACTGTATAAATATAGACTAACTTGTTTTACATCATCCTTCAATGGTTCTATATTCATTCTGGTTATCAGAAGATTTACCTGTTGAGGTTTTGAGCAATTTCTGTCTTGCTGAAATCATAATATGATAGGTGAAATGATATTCTCTACACAAATCCCGAGTGTTAATCTCCCGATAGTAGAGAAACATTGTAAAGTAGATTAGAATAACTTTGTACACATTATGTATGAGTGATCTGGTTTCAGCAGAATCATCGCAAAAACATACCTTATTCAACAAAAAACATCTCATGTAGAGAACGATGTCATACCGTAATTAATACAAAAACATCTCGTTTAGAGAATGATGTCATATCGTAATTAACACAAAAACATCTCGTGTAGAGAATGCTGTCATACCGTAATTGACACAAAACCAACATGTGTAGAGAATGATACCATACCGTAATTAAACCATATACATTATAAAAACATCCTGTGTAGAGTATCCTGTCATACCGTAACTATTATAAAAACATTCTGTGTAGAGAATCCTGTCATACCGTAACTATTATAAAAACATCCTGTGTAGAGTATCCTGTCATACCGTAACTATTATAAAAACATTCTGTGTAGAGAATCCTGTCATACTGTAACTATTATAAAAACATCATGTGTAGAGAATCCTGTCATACTGTAACTATTATAAAAACATCCTGTGTAGAGAATCCTGTCATACCGTAACTATTATAAAAACATCCTGTGTAGAGTATCCTGTCATACCGTAACTATTATAAAAACATTTAGTGTAGAGAATCCTGTCATACCGTAAATATTATAAAAACATTCTGTGTAGAGAATCCTGTCATACCGTAAGTATTACAAAAAACATCCTGTGTAGAGAATCCTGTCATACCGTAACTATTATAAAAACATCCTGTGTAGAGAATCCTGTCATACCGTAACTATTATAAAAACATCCTGTGTAGAGAATCCTGTCATACCGTAACTATTATAAAAACATCCTGTGTAGAGAATCCTGTCATACCGTAAATATTATAAAAACATTCTGTGTAGAGAATCCTGTCATACCGTAAGTATTATAAAAACATCCTGTGTAGAGAATCCTGTCATACCGTAACTATTATAAAAACATCCTGTGTAGAGAATCCTGTCATACCGTAACTATTATAAAAACATCCTGTGTAGAGAATCCGTGTATTCAAAAACACTGTGTAGAAATCCTGTCATTATTAAAAACATCCTGTGTAGAGAATCCTGTCATACCTGTGTAGAGAAGTATTACAAAAAGCATCCTGTGTAGAGAATCCTGTCATACCGTAACTATTATAAAAACATCCTGTGTAGAGAATCCTGTCATACCGTAACTATTATAAAAACATCCTCTGTAGAGAATCCTATCATACCGTAAGTATTACAATAAACATTCTGTGCAGAGAATCCTGTCATTCCGTAAGTATTACAAAAACATCCTGTGTAGAGAATCCTGTCATACCGTGTAGAGAAGTATTACAAAAAACAACCTGTGTAGAGAATCCTGTCATCGTAAGTATTACAAAAAACACTATGTAGAGAATCCTGTACCGTAAGTATTACAAAAAACACAGTAAGTATTACAAAAAACATCCTGTGTAGAGAATCCTGTCATACAGTAAGTATTACAAAAAACATCCTGTGTAGAGAATCCTGTCATACAGTAAGTATTACAAAAACATCCCTGTGTAGAGAATCCTGTCATACAGTAAGTATTACAAAAACATCCCTGTGTAGAGAATCCTGTCATACCGTAAGTATTACAAAAACATCCCTGTGTAGAGAATCCTGTCATACCGTATGTATTACAAAAAACATCATGTGTAGAGAATCCTGTCATACCGTAAGTATTACAAAAAACATCCTGTGTAGAGAATCCTGTCATACCGTAAGTATTACAAAAAACATCCTGTGTAGAGAATCCTGTCATACCGTAAGTATACAAAAAACATCCTGTGTAAAAAAACATCTGTGTAGAGAATCCTGTCATACCGTAAGTATTACAAAAAACATCCTGTGTAGAGAATCCTGTCATACCGTAAGTATTACAAAAAACTTTCTGTGCAGAGAATCCTGTCATACCGTAAGTATTACAAAAAAACTGTGTAGAGAATTCTGTCATACCGTAAGTATTACAAAAACATCTCTGTGTAGAGAATCCTGTCATACAATAAGTGTTACAAAAAACATCCTGTGTAGAGAATCCTGTCATACCGTAAGTATTACAAAAGACATCCTGTGTAGAGAATCCTGTCATACCGTAAGTATTACAAAAAACTTTCTGTGCAGAGAATCCTGTCATACCGTAAGTATTACAATAAACATTCTGTGCAGAGAATCCTGTCATTCCGTAAGTATTACAAAAAACAACCTGTGTAGAGAATCCTGTCATACCGTAAGTATTACAAAAAACATCCTATGTAGAGAATCCTGTCATACAGTAAGTATTACAAAAAACATTCTGTGTAGAGAATCCTGTCATACAGTAAGTATTACAAAAAACATCCTGTGTAGAGAATCCTGTCATACAGTAAGTATTACAAAAACATCCCTGTGTAGAGAATCCTGTCATACCGTAAGTATTACAAAAACATCCCTGTGTAGAGAATCCTGTCATACCGTATGTATTACAAAAAACATCCCTGTGTAGAGAATCCTGTCATACCGTAAGTATTACAAAAAACATCCTGTGTAGAGAATCCTGTCATACCGTAAGTATTACAAAAAACATCCTGTGTAGAGAATCCTGTCATACAGTAAGTATTACAAAAACATCCCTGCGTAGAGAATCCTGTCATACCGTAAGTATTACTAAAACATCCCTGTGTAGAGAATCCTGTCATACCGTATGTATTACAAAAAAACATCATGTGTAGAGAATCCTGTCATACCGTAAGTATTACAAAAGACATCCTGTGTAGAGAATCCTGTCATACCGTAAGTATTACAAAAAACTTTCTGTGCAGAGAATCCTGTCATACCGTAAGTATTACAAAAACATCTCTGTGTAGAGAATTCTGTCATACCGTAAGTATTACAAAAACATCTCTGTGTAGAGAATCCTGTCATACAATAAGTGTTACAAAAAACATCCTGTGTAGAGAATCCTGTCATACCGTAACTATTATAAAAACACCCTGTGTAGAGAATCCTGTCATACCGTAAGTATTACAAAAAACATCCTGTGTAGAGAATCCTGTCATACAGAAAGTATTACAAAAACATCCCTGCGTAGAGAATTCTGTCATACCGTAAGTATTACAAAAAACAACCTGTGTAGAGAATCCTGTCATACAGTAAGTATTACAAAAAACATTCTGCGTAGAGAATTCTGTCATACCGTACTAAATACAACGTGTGTATTTCATAAGATTTTAAAAGCTTCATTCTTGTATATCTATTTGGAGGAAGAAACTATAGAACTATTGTTATAATCATCTGAATGATTTACGTAAAGCTACAATGTTAAGTAACATATCTCGGGTCAACAAGGTGCTACGATGAAGACATATAAACACTCATGTAAATATCTGTATAGATAGTTATTATACACAATACGTCATCTTATGTAGAGAATGATGTTAAAATGAATCACCCTGTTACTAATTTGATTTCGTACAAAAACCCTTCTTTAACAGAAAATCATGTTACATAATACATGATCTTATAAAGAGAAATATGTTAAAAACTAGTCAGCTAATACACTGTATGTTATACCATCAGTCTCTCTGTATAGATAAATATGTTATACCATCAGTCTCTCTGTATAGATAAATATGTTATACCATCAGTCTCTCTGTATAGATAAATATGTTATACCATCAGTCTCTCTGTATAGATAAATATGTTATACCATCAGTCTCTCTGTATAGATAAATATGTTATACCATCAGTCTCTCTGTATAGATAAATATGTTATACCACCGGTCTCTCTGTATAGATAAATATGTTATACCATCAGTCTCTCTGTATAGATAAATATGTTATACCACCGGTCTCTCTGTATAGATAAATATGTTATACCATCAGTCATTCTGTATAGATAAATATGTTATACCATCAGTCTCTCTGTATAGATAAATATGTTATACCATCAGTCTCTCTGTATAGATAAATATGTTATACCATCAGTCTCTCTGTATAGATAAATATGTTATACCACCGGTCTCTCTGTATAGATAAATATGTTATACCATCAGTCTTTCTGTATAGATAAATATATTATACCATCAGTCTCTCTGTATAGATAAATATGTTATACCATCAGTCTCTCTGTATAGATAAATATGTCATACCATCAGTCTCTCTGTATAGATAAATATATTATACCTTCAGTCATTCTGTACAGATAAATATGTTATACCATCAGTCATTCTGTACAGATAAATATGTTTTACAATCAGTCTCTCTGTATAGATAAATATGTTATACCATCAGTCTCTCTATAGATAAATATGTTATACCATCGGTCTCTCTGTATAGATAAATATGTTTTACAATCAGTCACTCTGTTTAGATCAATATATTTATACCATCAGTCTTTCTGCATAGATAAAAATGGTATTAAGACAGTCACATTGCCCGGATGATCAATTCTATCATCAGACACTTTGTATATAGAATTATGCGATACTGTAAGTTATTCATTTTCGGGAAATATAGTATATCTTACGTCACAATATGTAGGTATAGAAAATCGTGGTACCTGTATATACTGACCAATACAGTGTCCAATTCATCATAAAATATTGATTATTGTCGGTTACTTTTCACAGCTTAAGTGTCAATTAATAGATTTTGTATTTGAACAGCTCAAAAACGAAAATGTTTATATTACAGATCTATATTGCATGTTGCTAACCGTTTCTATTTCAAATGTAAGAATACCGTTATAAGAACATCGATTTCCGATACACGTTTAATGGTAAATGAACAATGTTTGTCAATACCAGTATGGGATGTTTACTACAACAGCTAATATTTGAGTTTAGACATGAAAGTACCATTACTGGGGCTATTGACTAAAGCACGAGGGTGTCGTATATTTATTAAACGATTCGCAGTGCCGTGCTCATAAATGGCACATTATTATCAGTTTACTGTGCCAAAATGTTAACGATTCACCTGCTTTATTTGTCTTGTGTACTTCAGGTCAGCGATTATAGGATATAGTTCTTAATAATATCAATTCATTTGATCCTAATGTGCAATAAATTATTAACAAGGAACATTTTATGTGTTATCCTTAGACCAAATATTGAACAGAATGATTATGTTATGATATATTTTCTTATGGCAATTATTCAGTTGCCATATTTAACACTACAGTGCCCGGAGGTAAATTTTAAAAATACATCTATATCTGTTGTAGATTTACTTGTTACTTGAAGTATACGTTTTAAGCGGTTTTCTAAAAAAAAAAAAAAAAAAAAAAAATCAGATGGGTTTGTTCTAGTTAAACTAGCATCAATGCTTAACAACAAACAATGAACGAATCAAAGTCAAATTCATATGTATTTTTTTTTAAATATGGAATGACACATATCTGAATATCTATATTGTATGTATATTAGTAACCAATGTTGATATATTTAAACGTACATTCTGATATTTATGATCTAAACACGATATAATTAACACATATATAAATATCATTACAATGTAAGTAACAAGGGGTACTTACGGTGAAATTGGTAGCACTCCGTGGAGGAGGTACATGGTTCTGTTGTTGGTTTTGCTGCCTTTGTTGTGTTGCTACAACTTCTGCTACTTTCCTACCGAAATCTTTCTTCAGATTTTTCAAATCTGTCTCTAATTTCACATTTTTCGCCTCCAACTGAATCTTATTTCTATGCGTTTCCTCTAGAAGAGCCTGGAGCTGAGCTAGTTCTCGCTCCAGTTTCTCATTGGTCCTTTCCAACTCTTTTATTGCCTCCTGGTATTGGACTTCTTTGTCGGATGAACTTTTCTCTAGTTCGGCTAATAACCGCCGTAACCTCTCAAGTTCTCTGTTTTTGCTTTGAATCTCCTCATTTTTAATCTTCAGTTGCTCCGCAACACCTTCTCTTAATTTTTCGATGTCTTTCTGAGCATTGATCAATAAATCTCGTAAATTTTGACTGTCTGATTTTTCCTCTGACAACTGCTTTTCTAAAACTTCAATTTGTTGTTTCCAGTGCTCTTCTCTTGCGTCAGCTTGTTCTTGTATAGCCTCTTTTACCCGTTCTTTCCCGGCTAAACGTTCTTTATCTAGCAATGCCTCTAGATCCTTACGTTTCTGCTCCAACGACGCTATTCTACCCTCGGCATCCTCCATCACCAGTGATAGTTCAAACTCATAAGCGTCTTTAATCGCTTCAATTTCAACTTCTTTCTCATGGTTTCTTGTAAAAAGCATATGAACCACCTGAGTCAATTCTGCCACTTTTTTCGACATTCGAAAGTCGAAAGTCTTCTTCTTGTCTATCGTCGCCATCTTGAAGATTTGTTATCGTACAGAAGTAAATGCTAATGTATAGGTGACTAACTAGCACACACCAGTAAAAGCATGTCCCGTGTGTCTTATTATGGGAACGGTGTCGCTGTCAGGATCATCATCCTAATAAATAGAAGATAAAAAAATAAATAAGCTATGGTTGTATGAATATGTGAGTTCATGTTTTTACAACAAAGCATGCTCATCATTTTTATTCGGTTTCGGGTCAGAATGTCTCCTGTCAGCCGTGATGAGAGCTTACTCATAGAAGCCGTCTTATGTTCGGATTCATGACCTATACAAACGATGTTATGTCTTTCTCTTTATTGACTTAACTGGAAATAAAGGTATGATTGATTTTCCCGACAAGCACTTGAATATCCCAGTACAAAGCCAGGAACGTTTGTGAGAGCCGGCGAGGAAGGACCACTGAACAATTCTTCACCGCTATATTACGGTCATTCATCAAGTAGCATTATTGAAATACAACTGCATATTGAAATAAAGTGAGGACCGTATGATGACAGATGCCACACAAACGGAGTATGGGTTATATTGACACAAACCATTGATTTCTTATTTACGGCCCTGGAAACGTTATTTTGCATGCTACCTTCCCGATAATTGAAGCGTTATACAGGATACACGGCGGAGATTCATTTGGGACTAGAGGAAATATCGCCAGGTTTCACAGGCTTGTTTTTATTTATGCTATACTTATGGTATAACAATATATATACATTACAATACAACGATTTCATAGAGCAAATGCTTAATTTTCATTTCCAAGATTTCCCCCTTGTATTATAAGTCTGAAATTAAAGAGATATGTATTCAGACATATGTATTTGCAACAATGTTGAATTAGTATTACTTAACTATGCACATAAAGCATATACTTGCATTCCTTTCGTCTACCAATGAAGTATTTGTGAGTGTCCAAGTATTGCTTCCATATATCTCATTGAAACATTTAAAACAAATACAGTCATGCCATAATATATTCTCACCGCAATACGACGCAGTACCGCTCCGTTAATAGATGCTTGAATTGTATTTCTGAAGATCGGGGGAATTCTATTCTATTGAGTATAATCAATAAAATATGACTTTGAAGTACATTTAAAATGCCCTTGATACCTTTGACATGTTTGTTATTTACGTTCAAATTGTTTTCAAATGTAAGCCATTCATACACTTGTAAACCGAAAATTATGAACTGACTTCTTATACGTGTGATTAAATCAAGGTCTACCACATTATGAAATGCTTTGTTACAATTTGTTTTAAAATGGATTAGATACTAAAATAACCCCCCGTTTCATTAGATTTGTTTTTCCTACTGGTATAACATTACGAGAAACATGTAAACACTATTTAACAACAATAAAATCGGTTTGTACTTAGCTAACTTTTTTTTCACTGGTCGGGATTATTCCCGTTGTAAATCGTTTGAAGAGCCTATGGACGGATTATGGTAGCTTTGTAGTTTACCCGTTGGAGCCATTGTGTTTTGTTGTGTACGTATTGTGTCTCCGGTACCAGGGTAGATATAGGGATCTACAGTGCATTCATGTTTTATATACAGTCAATCTTAGATACGGTTACCAGTACTAGAGATATAAATAGACCCTGGCTATCGATACGGCGACCCATTCGAGCGTCTTCCAACATAAAGAAATTGTACTTAGTACAGTGGGTTATATATGGTGATAAACTAATCTATATTCCTTGTTTATCGCTCGGGTTTACTTTGAAACAAACAGATTTACAAGAAGCATCCTTAGAATTTAACATGAATCAGCTACTGTCGACAATATTGACAGATCTTCTGATAAAAATATTTTGAGGATTGTTTGAGCAAATATCATGAGTACACGTCTTTTGTTAATGAGAGGTATTCATTCCCTTTGTCTAGAATTAAATACAGTTTTGCCATGACAGGAATGCTATTACAGCTATAATTACGTATTAATATACAATGTAACTGGATTTTCGATCCTCTAAGTAAAGCGCTTTCAAATGTTTTCATTCTGTTTGGCATTCATAGGAAAACTCAATACAGCACTGGTATACAGATATAATAAACAGGTAAAAATTCTAGTAAGCAACATGGGGCGCCAGCTATTTAATAACTAAAATATTGATAGATATATTAGTGTCTACATGTCGCAGACGATTCGATATTTTATGTCTAGTTCCTAGTATCGTGATTTTTGTTCAAGGTGTTGACAACTGACAGACAAGCTCACAACACGGTGATTTCGGAGGTGTAGGCTGATGGGAACGTGACATGAATTACTTATATCCACAAATATTTACATGACAGGTGTCTTCGATGAAGAAGAAAACGACTACTCTTCTCATTCTCCATGTACATTTTCAGGAGTCTCCCTGTAAATCTTTCTTTTGTTCAGAGTACACATTTGATTCATTAATTTGTGTATCATTATGGTTTTCCCAACATGTCAGTATTTTCATGCTTTTTACATATGTGACTAATCTATCAAACTCTAGTAAGTTTGATAACACTGTACCAGTAAAAAGTAGGTGACCTATGAAGAAAAAATCTATTTCAATTGGAGATTGCACAAAAGACACACAAATTAATAACACCATTTGATATAAATTTTGAGCCAAACAATGACACCATACAGGTGTTTTTTTTACTTCTAGGACTCGTCAGTGATGTTACATCATACAGATGTGTTGTCCTCCTAGGACTCGTCAGTGATGCTAAGAGCCTAAATGTTCAACCTTGAAGGCAACTGAGGAAAAGTGTTCAAAAGAGACGTCAAAATTAAGATGGGGCGGAACACTAGCCCCACATCACGTGTTTACGTCTTGTTTCACGCAGATACGATAGCTTAAAAACTGTACTTCCAAACGATATTCTTATGACCTATACATTACGTATTAGAAATTAAACCTTTGTTAGTTATGCTCTATTTCTATTTCACGAAGACAGAATTTACGTCACGCTTTTAATAGATAAGAAATCTGATTAGAGGCCGAAAAATGTATTTCTCTTAATTGTAATACATAGTCTTCTCAGTTGTACATAAAATTGATTAAAACGAGTTCTTATAATTAAGCACTCCTCTCTTTTCTTTCAATACAAAATAATGGAGTAAGCATCAAAGATAAACTTAATATCTTAATATCTAACTACACAGATCACAAAATGTAACACATTTTACTGACAATTACACTGTATACATTTTGAAACTGTTTGATGACACGAAGCTGCTATTGTTACCAATATCTTACGATTATTGATATTTCGACTGTAATCCACAAAACGTTGTACGAAATAAAATCAGGTTATTATTTCAACTAAATTACATGTCTGTTTACAAGTTTGCGTTCCTTTGTTTATTGTTGTTGCATGATGCTTAAGTAACTAAAACGGTTTACAGGTTTGTAGCATTTTTAAAGGAAATTGAAATACAGCTTTTTTTTTTTTTTATATTTTTTTATAGAATTGATATTTATAATGAAAACAGTTTTAATGTTTGTAAGTATCATACGTTCTACAAGTAACATTTCTTATATTTCTGATATATATGGTGTTTATATTTCTTTCTTATTGTAAATCTGATTTACAACTCAAGCTGCGCTTTTTCAGAGTTCTCAAAATCAATCTTTCTTTTTTTCATGTGTTAACCCTAGTTTTATTGAATGTGATCTTCGACTAAGATTCTGTTGAAATGTTGGTGTTTTCTTCTTTGTTGCATTTCTATGAATTACGTATGTATGACACTGTCAGTAAAGAATCAGGGTGTGGTATTCCATCAGTAGTATGCTATGTTTTGTCCAGCACTGCTTATTTATTGTACAAGACATAAGAATAATAATTGTTTGTCAATTGATGACCAAAACAAGATATGATATCCTAGTGATATTTATGTTTTTATATTAGTGTACCACTTCAAACGTTGTTATCTGCAAGGGGTTCATTTCTAAACATTGTAAAATGATATATTTTCGTTGGGTTCAATTTTCGTGGTATTTATACTTATACTTGTACTTATACTAATCATGACAGTTCGTGGACATATGAATTCGCTGATTAAGTGTACCCAAGAAATCAACGAAAAATAAAACACACACGAAAATTAGTAGTTTTACAGTATTTTCGAACCCCCCCCCCTCCCCACCCCCTCAAGAAAAAAAAAACATTACTTATGAAATACAAAACGTTAGTGGAGAAAACCATGAATTTTTTTATGTTTTCTGTGAAATTTGCAAAATTCTTGCTTAAATTTAAAATTAATAAATAAAACTAAAAAAGCTTAAGCCCTTGACTAACACAAAAAACATAACAGTATGATAATTAGTGATATCGGTGGTAAAGTCTATGTACCCGTCAATATTTTTCGTAACTTGATATATCTGATATCAGTCAGGACTCAATGGCTGGATATTGTGTACAGATGTAATTTATAATATATATCGTGTAAAACATATAATTAAAATATCATTTAAATATGACTCGGTCCATTAATTAGTACAATGAGTACAAATCTAACTGGTATATACTATATGTTGTGTTATCAGTATGGTCGAGTGTCACGTTTCCTATAATTGGAGTTACCAACTACAGGCGGTTTTCCTTGGTATAAGAGAATCGGTAATGACTAAAGTACAATAGATTCTATAGCATCAACACACAAAGGGAAGTTTGAAATAAAAGCCAAAAGAATGTATGGACAACAATATGCAGGTATATAGACAAATAATTTTTTCAGAAAATCTCCTTGTTGTTAAAAGAGGATTTCTTCTTTTGGTATTCGATTTTAAACTGTGATACTTGGTATATATTCTGTCTACAGATTGGGTATACACCACGAGGCAAACACTACAGGTTTGACAACCTTCACATACTTATTGGACAAAGCAATGGTGCAAAATGGCAGATTTCAGACTTTTTATTACCAGTATAGTGATTTCATATTGATATATTTCGAAAAAAAGCGTGTGATTCGTACACAATCTAGTAGTAATTATATTTTGAAAAGAGTAGAGAGACTTCCAGTGC